CCGCGAGTGGGCGAGGGAGCGGGGCGCGAGGGGCGGGCATGACCGTGGGCGGCGGAGGACTGCATGAAACGACTACTGAGCCCGATGAAGTAGTGCGGGGCTGAATTGAGGCAGTGTCCAGGGCGAGGCAGAGGAGGGAAGGGGGAGGGGGAGGAGGAGTGTCTTCGAGGGAGTGGGGCAGAAAGGGTGGGGGTAGGGGTGGGAGAGGAGGGGGAGGGGGTCATGGCGTTGAGACAGGGTAGCGAGTGGAGGAGAAGGGGGGGGGATGAGGCAAGGAAGCAGGGGTGGCTGAGAGAGAGGGGGGGGAGGGAGTTGAGCACATACTGCGTAGCCAGTTGCTGCATGAGGGGGGGGGGGGTGGCTGAGAGGGAGGGGATGAGATTCAGGGGGAGAGGGGGGGATGATAAAGGGAGGGAGGGAGGGAGGGGGAGGATGGGGTAGCTAGATGGGAGAGGAAGGGAGGAGGAGGGGGGGGTGATGACGCAGTTACCAAGCAGACCCCCCGTTATGTGCCCACTACCCGCCCTGCCCACACATATCCACTTACAGCACCGCACCTCTCGCTCGCCGCGGGAATTAAGCCAGTGAGTGCCCCGCGCCGCGATGCCCAACCATCTTCGTTAAAATCACTTCATTCTGTCTCTCACTTCTTCTCACTTTTCGTAAAAAAAAGGGTATTTCAAGTCGGCACACACACTCAAAACGACTTGGAAAAAAAAAAAAAAAAAACACTCGCACACATGCACAGCTCGACGGCGGTATAACTTGTTGCTGAGAATGGATCATGAACACACTGCATGACGATGTAAAAATCTTCAATAAAAAGAAAAAAAAGAGATAAGACAATTTTACAGACACTATTCACCCATGCAATCTAAAAACACCCCACCTATCGAAAGCAGTAAAACGGAATTCCCCTAAATACAAAAGTATTTGCGAAACTTCTAAAAAGAAACTGACATACGAAGAAGTGAAGTCCTCGGCCCCGAGACGAATCGTTCTCTCGCGCACTGCCAACCAACCAACCACCTGTAGCTTTCTCTTCCCCCCAACCCGTCCGTTTTCCGCTGTTCTCCTCCTCCAGATGCTAGCTCTTAACAACACCTCAAACTCGAGATGTAAAGACGAGAAGTCGAAGGACTTACCTCAGAGTAGAGAAGCGTATGCATCATAATGCAAAAGATTCAGAAACTATGTCTCGGAGCACTACAGAGTACGTCTACTCCTGTCGGTCCCTCAGCTCGGAATAATCCTAGTGAATGTCGTCACCTGCAATAGTCTTTTCGCCCGCTCAGACGTTCCAGAGGTTGCCGGCAACGATTTGCGAATTTGGCCTTATCTTTTCGAATTTGGTTTTGGGAGATTAATTTTACGTTGAAATGGTGCTCATTTGCGTTGAAAAGCATGGATAGAATATAGAAATAATGTATATTAGTAGTGTATTTAAAATACGATGTGATAACCGGTGCCAATGACGTCAATGGTAACCATGACAACGCTGGCGCAGCGACCAAACAGTGCACAGAATATAATCCACTCCTGTGCTCCAATTGGTTGAGAAGTTTCAATGTTGTTTTACTCAAATGAACTTTATTTGCACAATTGACTCAAATAATATCATAGCTCAGTATTCTCCCTAATAATCCAAGCCTTTCCTTTCACTCTCGCTGGCAACTCGCAGGCCCTCTCAAAGTGAAAGTTATTCAGCGGCTTCCGTGCGAGAGGGGCACATTCCCACAAGTATATTTCCAAGAACAGTTTACATCATGGATCATCTAATTACCCGTCGTAGCTCTACCGATCAGTCAACTAGCCAACACCCACACTCACACAGTATGGAAACCGTTCATTCTCTCCAACACAGCACTCCATTTTGTCTCTTCAGGCAACCCCCTCCCCTTCCCTCCTTCGTGCAGCTGTGGCTAGGCCTTAGGGCGCGCCGTGGAACAGATCTACTTCAAATCTCTCACTCCTACTGTCCACTTTGACGATCATAGCCGCTGACGTTACGACTGGAGAATTCTCATGCGTGCTGTAATTTTCACAAGTGGTCTGCGTTACAGCCTCTAGTTATCGAGCCTCCCACACACACCTTTTTTTCGAAACCTCGGGCGCGTACCTCATGTACACACATTACCCAACAAGGCGACGTAACCAGCTGAGACATCTCGTGCCAGATGCAATCGCCATGGCTCCAACGCTGTCGCCTTAGATCATGCAAGGGCGACTTTTGGCATTATTATTATGTGTCTCATGTCCTCCATTCTGTTACTGATATCATGAAATAGTTGTGGTTGATACGTGCTTTACAGTGTTGAACATGATGCATTTGTATGATAATATAACAAACTAAATGCATCAACGGTTGTGTTATATGCAACACTCATATTCCCTACCAAAGAACATCGAAACTTTAATGAAAATCCCCAACGCTTTCAACCCAAATAGCATGTAATACCATAACAAACATCACCAGTTCATAACTCTCTTTTTTTCCCCTCCACCATGGGCGCACCACTACGCAGTCCACTCCTACCCCGTACCCAAAGCTTTTCGCCCAATGTCATACCATTACCTCGTACCCAGCATCAACGGCAAATACCTTATTGCCAGAACAAGCTACCACCACATGCCTGGCATCGTTAACCGCAGAACCAAGCGTTGCATAAAGTATCATTGCCACGAAACTGTTCTGGGTATGATACTGCGGGCAAGGAATACATTGCCTCGACATAACACCACGGGACTGTAATTGTACTTTCTCACACATAATGGAATGTTAATAACTCGTCTCTTCTGAGAATCTAATACTCATGCATTTTATTTGAAAAAAGGGTCTTATTTCACCTTTACCAATACCAGGTACTAAACGCCGTATCACCTTAACAACACCAACTTTATATTCTAATGATTTATTTCACTCTAAGCATCACCATGCACAGATACTAAACGCCACTATCAGTTTCACCCTTAACACTATCATTTAGAGACACTCAGCGTTTAAGTATCACCATTACATAGTACGCAAACATCATTAACGGACACTAGGGGACGTACCCAGGACCCCAGCTTGCTGTTACAGTCGAAACGCTATCACTCTTACGTCATCATACGCAACGCCTTAATGTTTTGATTGTCTGCGTATCATTTACTATTGGAACCAGGGTCACTGATTCGTCAATTTATGCTGTATGCGATGTTTGTTTTGTAGTGTCCTTGATTATTATGTTTTATTTTAAAAACAATTCGTGTAAATTTCATACCATTTTAAAAAATTTAATTATATGAATTGACCTAAGGCATGTCCCAGGTACCAGAATAGTTCGTGCTTGTCTTATTAGCTTCATGAAACTTAATACTATTACCACTTACTATATTCAGTGAAGCTGTAAAGCAACAATGCACGATCTTCACACACAGTTTTATATCCACGACCACAATGGCCGTGCATCAGAAAGACGCCATCTAGTATTGGATAATTCAATCTCTTGCGGTTCTCTTTATCATCATACAGATATGACATTTTTTCTCCTATGATCAGGTGCAGGGATAAAGTCATTCTTATACGTGTCTAGCATTGCCAAATACTAAATACTTTTATATTATGTCGTACAGCATTTTTACACAGCATCAATGTCTCGTGACACTATTTATATTGTAGATTCAGCTACGAGTCACTACGGTTTTGTAAAATCAGGGTCAGCATAACCCTTTGTAGATAGAAGTATTACAATGTCTGGCAACACTTAGTTGAAGAAGGCATGAATAAGAATGAGTGAGCTGACGAGACGAGATTCATACTTATATTCATCAACCTTTGTTAAAACAAATTCTTTTGTCCCCAAACTTATGTGCACATGATATTCCCGAGCATATACAGGTTCTATCGAAGCAGTACAACAAGAAAACCACGGTCTGTCAGAGGGCATTGTGCATTCATATATCATCCAGTACTACCACACACTTTGCAAACCAAATACCACATCAGGTGCACCAACACACTTTACTTACCTCGTGATGGCTCTATCCCCCAATAGAAGCCTTGTGTCTTTTCTGTACGCGAATATCTTGGCTCTTTGATACCATCCACGCATCGATTCATATCTTAATTAAACCCTCTCGTCTGACGTCACTACCTTGCATATTAATCGTTTTAATCACTTATTTCGTAGGCGGTGACTCTGTTGTTCGCGCAACACAGCTAACATTCCAGTACTAACGAATAGCTTATCATCACTCGCTGGAAACATCACTAGACCTAATGTCTTCAATAACTTGACCGTTGGCGATAAAGCGATATTACGGTACCCTTCTCATGATCAATAAGTAGCCTTCGAACGAAAGTCTTTCATGAGGCAAGTCTGAGAGAGAGAGAGAGAGAGAGAGAGAGAGAGAGAGAGAGAGAGAGAGAGAGAGAGAGAGAGAGAGAGAGAGAGAGAGAGAGAGAGAGAGAGACAGACAGACAGACAGATATGTATATATATATAGAGAGAGAGAGAGAATGAGAATGAGAGAGAAAGAGAGAGAAGGGAGAGAAAGGAGTAAGTGAAGGAGAGAGAGAGAGAGAGAGAGAGAGAGAGAGAGAGAGAGAGAGAGAGAGAGAGAGAGAGAGAGAGAGAGAGAGAGAGAGAGAGAGAGAGAGAGAGAAAGAGAGAGTGAAAGAGAGAGTGAAAGAGAGAGTGAAAGAGAGAGTGAAAGAGAGAGTGAAAGAGAGAGAGAGAGAGAGGGAGAGAGAGAGAGAGAGAGAGAGAGAGAGAGAGAGAGAGAGAGAGAGAGAGAGAGAGAGAGAGAGAGAGAGAGAGAGAAGGAGAGAGAAGGAGAGAGAAAGAGAGAGAAAGAGAAAGAGAGAGAGAGAGAGAGAGAGAGAGAGAGAGAGAGAGAGAGAGAGAGAGAGAGAGAGAGAGAGAGAGAGAGAGAGAGAGAGAGAGAGAGAGAGAGAGAGAGAGGCTGTCTGTGAGGAGCGGCTTCTTGGCATCTTCGGAGAGACGTGAGCACCTGCAGTTGCTCGTTCAAGTCTGCAGTTGAAAAGTAAATAAAGAGATTAGTGATTAGATGCACATGCATACACACTCACAAATATATTCATACACAGACTTTCTTA